GAGCTCCCATTACTTGTCCCAGCTTCTGCCAACCTAGCAGTTTGAAAGCATGTAAAAATGCAAGTAGAAAAATAGGAACCACCTTTGGTGGGAAGTTAACAGTGTTCTGTGCCCCTTCAGTTGTGCCGGCCACATGACCACGGAGACATCTTTGGACAGTGATGGCTCTTTGGCTTTGAAATGGAGCTGAGCACTGCCCCCTAGAGTCGGGAACGACTAGCACATATGTGCCTTTACCTTTACTGCATGAAAGTCCCAGAGGGGTTCGCTTAAACTATCCCAAAGGGAAGAGCAGGGGGTTCAGCAGGTCTATCCAGGCTTAATCATCACAATTACAGGTAGTCCTTGACTTACGACTTATGGCAACCCGAAAGGTTCACTCCAGGATTGACAACTACCACAATTGACCCCAAAAATTTGAGCCCAAAATTTCTGTTGCTGAACAAGACAGTTTTCAAGAGTGTTTTGCCCTATGTTGCGACCTTTCTTGCCACAGATGTTCAGTGAATCACCAGAGTTGTTAAGTTAGTAACGCCGTTGTTAAGTGAATCTGGCTTCCCCATTGACTTTGGCTTGTCACAGTGCAACCGTTGTAAATCTGAGCCGTTTGCCCAGCATCTGAGTTTTAATCTCAGGGAAAGCCGCAAAGATCGTAAATGTGAAAAACGTTCACGAGTCATTTTATACAGCACGATTGTAACTATGAACGGTCACTAAACGAACTGTTGTAAGTCAAGGACTAGCTGCGTTTATACAAGCCGGTTGGGGTACAAGGAATGGGTCTTCTGTCCATCCCTGCAATTTGTCAATCTATCCTTCCTGTACTATTAACAATGGCAGGGTTTCTTAACCTTACAATACAATTGCAAATACAAATATAAATACAATTACAAATACAAATATAATTACAATTACAGATACAATTACAGATACAGATACAATGACAGATACAGATACAATACAAATACAATACAAGTACAATACAATACAATAGCAGAGTTGGAAGGGACCTGGGAGGTCTTCTAGTCCAACCCCCTGCCTAGGCAGGAAACCTTATACCATTTCAGACAAATGGCTATCCAACATCTTCTTAAAGACTTCCAGTGTT